TTCTGGTGTCTTCAGCCCCAAATTCCTGCATCCAAAAGGCCTGTAGTGGGATGAGACCCAATTTTGGCCCTTTTAGCCCCAAATGCCTGCATCCAGATGGGATTTCATTGGGATGAGGCCCAGTTTTAGCATCTTTAGCCCCAAATTCTCAGAATGGGACCCAAATTCTGCCTCTTTACCCCCAAATTCCTGCAAACACAATGGCCTTCATTGGGAATGGACCCATTTTTGGCATTTTTAGCCCCAAATTCCCAGCATGGGACCCAATTTTGGCATCTTTAGCCCTAAATTCCTGCATCCAAATGGGACTTTAGTGGGATTAGACCCAATTTCAGCATTTTTGGCCCCAAATTCCCGGTATAGGACCCAATTTCTGCCTCTTTACCCCCAAATTCCTGCAGCCCCAAACATCTTTAGTGGGATTGGACCCAATTTCAGCATGTTTAGCCCCAAATTCCTGCCTTCTGCAGGTTTGGACCCAATTTTGGCCTTTTTAGCCCCAAATTTCCAGGATGGGACCCAAAATCTGCCTCTTTAGCCCGAAATTCCTGCATCCAAAAGAGCCTTTAGTGGGATGGGACCCAATTCTGGTGGTTTTAGCCCCAAATTCCAAGGATCAGACACAATTTTCGCCTATTTAGCCCCAAATTCCTGCATCCAAAAGGGACTTTAGTGGGATGGGACCCAATTCTGGTGTTTTTAGCCTCAAATTCTGAGGATCAGACCCAATTTCTGCCTCTTTAGCCCCAAATTCCTGCATCCAAAAGGGACTTCAGTGGGATTAGACCCAATTCTGGTGGTTTTAGCCCCAAATTCTGAGGCTCAGACCCAATTTTGGCCTCTTTACCCCCGAATTCCTGCATCCAAAAGGGACTTTAGTGGGATTAGACCCAATTCTGGTGGTTTTAGCCCCAAATCCCAATGATCAGACCCAATTTCTGCCTCTTTAGCCCCAAATTCTCAGGATTGGACCCAATTTCTGCCCATTTTCTGAGGCAAAAACCTCACTTTTGAGGAAAAATGCAATTTTCAGAGGTAAAAGCTCCATTTTTTGAGGCAAAAACCTCACTTTTGAGGAAAAACTCAAATTTCAGAGGTAAAAGCTCTGTGTGTTGAGGCAAAAACCTCACTTTTGAGGAAAAACTCGATTTTCAGAGGTAAAAGCTCCATTTTTGAGGTAAAAACCTCACTTTTGAGGAAAAACGCAATTTTCAGAGGTAAAAGCTCCATTTTTTGAGGTGAAAACCTCACTTTTGAAGAAAAATGCAAATTTTTGAGGTAAAAGCTCCATTTCCCGACCTCAAACCTTCACTTTTTGAGGTAAAACTCCATTTCTTGAAGTAAACCTCCATTTTCTGAGGCAAATCCCTCACTTTTTGAGGTAAAAAATCCTTTTTTGAGGTAAAACTTCATTTTCTGTTGCAAATCCCTCACTTTTTGAGGTAAAAGCTATATTTTTTGAGGTAAAACTTCATTTTCTGAGGCAAATCCCTCACTTTCTGAGGTAAAAACTCCATTTTTTGAAGCAAACCTCCATTTTCTGAGCCAAACCCCTCACTTTTTGAGGTAAATACATCATTTTTCAAGGCAAAAACTCCACTTTTTGAGCTTAAAGCCTCATTTTCTGAGGTCAAACCCTCACTTTTTGAGGTAAAATCCCATTTTCTGAGGCAAACCCTCCATAAAAACATCCCTTTTTGAGTTAAAAACGTGATTTCCTGAGGCAAAAACTCATTTCTTGAGCTTAAAGCCCCATTTTCTGAGGTAAAAACTGTTTTCTGAGCTAAAACCTTCACTTTTTGACTTAAAACCTCAATTTCCTAGGGTGAACCCCTCATTTTTTGAGGTAAAAACCTCAATTTTTGGAGGCCGTCACCATTTATTGAGGTAAAAACTTCACTTTTTGAGGTAAAAGCTCTTATTTCCTGATATGAAACTTCCATTTTTGAGGTAAAAACCTCTCATTTCCTGATACAAGCCCTCCATTTTTGAGGTAAAACCTCCATTTTTGAAGGCAAAATCTCCATTTTTTGAGTTTTTGAAGTAAAACCTCAATTTTCTGAAGTAAACCTCTGTTTTTTGAGGTAAAACCTTCACTTTTTGAGGTTTTAACTCAATTTTGTAAAACCCTCTTTTTTTTTCCCTGAGGTAAAAAGTCCATTTTCTGAGCCAAAAGCTTCACTTTTTGAGGCAAAACCATCATTTTCTGAGGTAAAAACTTACTTTGTGAAGTAAAACCTCATTTTCTGAGGCAAAACCTTCACGTTTTGAGGCAAAACCATCATTTTTTGAGGTAAAAACTCCATTTATTATGATTGAAGCCTCATTTTTGGAGGTAAAATCCTCACTTTTTGATGTAAAAACTTCGGGTTTTGAGGCAAAATCTATTTTCTTACCTAAAAGCTTAACGTAAAAATGTCATTCCTTGAGGTAAAAACGTCACTTTTTGATGTAAAAAAGTCACTTTCTGAGGTAAAACCCCATTTTTCTGAGGTAAAAACTTCACTTTTCTGAGGTAGAAAGTTCACCTTTTGATGTAAAAATTCCATTTTCTGAGGCAAAACCTTCACGTTTTGAGGCAAAACCATCATTTTTTGAGGTAAACCCTCCATTTATTATGATTAAAGCCTCATTTTCAGTGGTAAAATCCTCACTTTTGTATGTAAAAACATCGGTTTTGAGGCAAAAATCTCCATTTTCTTACATAAAACCCTGAACTTTTTGAGGTGAAAACTGTTTTCTGAGTCAAAACCTTCACTTTCTTAGGTAAAAACTTCACTTTTTGAGGTAAAAACTTCGGGTTTTGACGTAAAATCTCTATTTTCTTACCTAAAAACTTCACTTCTTAATGTAAAAAAAAAAAGTCATTTCTAGAGATAAAAACATCACTTTTTGACGTAAAAAATCCACTTTTTTAGGTAAACCCCCATTTTTCTGAGGTAAAAACGTCAAGTTTTGTGCCAAAACCATCATTTTTTTGAGGTAAAACCTCCATTTATTATGATTAAAGCCTCATTTTACTGTTTGAGGTAAAAACTTCAGGTTTTGAGGCAAAATCTGTTTTCTTACCTAAAAACTTCACTTCTTAATGTAAAAATGTCATTTCTTGAGGTAAAAACATCACTTTTTGATGTAAAAAAAGTCACTTTCTGAGGTAAAACTTCACTTTTCTGAGGTAAAAAGTTCAATTTTGATGTAAAAACTCTGCTTTCTGAGGTAAAAACTTCACTTTTTGAGGCAAACCCATCATTTTTTGAGGTAAACCCTCCATTTAGTGTGGTTAAAGTCTTATTTTCTGAGGTAAAATCCTCATTTTTTGACATAAAACCTTCAGGTTTTGAGGTAAAATCTCCATTTTCTCACATAAAAACTTCACTTAATGTAAAAAACTCATTTCCTGAGGTAAAAACATCAATTTGATGTAAAAACATCATTTTTTGAGGTAAAACTCCAATTTCCGAGGTTAAAACTTCAATTTTGAAGTAAAATCTTCCATTTTCTGAGGCAAAACCTTCACTTTTTGAAGTAAAACCTCCACTTTGAGGTAAAACCTTCACCTTTTGAGGTAAAACTCCAATTTCCAAGGTAAAAACTTCAATTTTGAAGTAAAAACTTCCATTTTCTGAGGTAAAAACTTCACTTTTTGAAGTGAAACCTCCCCTTTCTGAGGTAAAACCTTCACTTTTTGAGGTAAAACTCAATTTTCTGAGGTAAAACCATCACTTTTTGAGGTAAGATGCCATTTTCTGAGGCAAAAACTCCACTTTTTGAGCTAAAACCTCAATTTCCCGAGGTAAAAGGGTTTTTTTCCCCCTCACATGGAGCCGTTACCAAGGCACTCAGCAGAAATCCCCATTTTTGGGTGTTTTTGACCCAAAATCCACCCCCTTCCCGCACATTCCAAGCTGCAGGAAACCCACACACAAAAAGCAGGCAAATGGCCCCAAAACTCCCACTTCCAATGAGGCAAAAAAGGGCGGTTTTCCACCCAAAACGAGCTTTTCAATCACAAAATCATCAAGTTTGGTTAAATCGCCCCATTTTTTACAGCGGCACCTTCCAAACTGCACCATTTCTCCCCCCAAAACCTCAGTTTTTGGCTAAAAATGGGTATTTTGGGGAGAAAAGGGTGGTTTTCCCCAGTTTGATCGCTAAAAAGAGGTCACTGGGACCCCATTGCAAAAGAAAACACCCAAAATTGTGGGGTTTTAGGGTTTTTTCCCCAATAAAGCACCATTTTGGGCAAAACCCCCATTATTTAACCAAATATTGCCTAAACCCACTGATTTTTACCCATTTTTTCACCTCCAACCCGTCCAAATAATCATGATCCTTCAGGTTTTGGGGCATTTCCCCCCATTTTGAGCCACTTTTTCTGGTTTTTCACCCAATTTTGGGTCATTTTCACAATGCTTTTGGGTCGCTCTCATGGTTTTGGGTGGTTTCAGCCCTATTTTAGGGCAGTTTCCCACTGTTTGTCGATTTTCCCCCAATTTGGAGCAATTTCCCATCATTTTAGAATCATCCCCTTGATTTTTGGAGCAGTTTCCCCTCATTTTGGGATTCTCATCCCCATTTTGGGGCAGTTTCTGAGCCCTTGGGGCTTCCCAACCCCTTCTTCTGGGTCAGGTTATACCAATTTTGGGATTCCCATCCCTGTATTTGGCGTGATTTTGCTCTATTTGGGGATTCCTGCCCTATTTACAGGCAGTTTCCAACCCCCAGCCCTATTTTTGGGGCAGTTTCCTGCAATTTGGGTTTCTCCTTTCATATTTGGGCCATTTTCTCCCCGTTTTGGAGCATTTCTCCCCATTTTGGGGCAGTTTCCCCCCTATTTTGCGCTCCTTTTCCCTATTTCAGGGGCATTCCTCCCAATCTCATTCCCTCCTCCCATTTTGGGTCATTTTAACCACATTTAATGAGTTCCCCCCATATTTTGGGGCTAATTCCCATCACTTTGGGCCCATTTCCCCCCGGTTTGGACACAAACACCACACGAGCATCTCCACGCTGCTTTTATTCAGCTCCTCAGTGCTTCCTGCTGGCGGCCGCCACCTGCGGGGACACCCCAAAACCGGTCAAACCCCCCCCCAAAACCACCTCAAACCACCCCAAAATGGTTAAAACGCCCTAAACCCCCCCAAAAACGCACCTGCCCCGCGATGCGGTCCAGGTCCCGCTGCCCCTGCGGAGTCAACTTGCGCCCCCTGCAGTCAATGAGAGGCACGACCGGATTCTATTGTGAGTGTGTGGGGTCCTATCCCAGTCTATCGCGATAGGGGGGGCTCTATCGCGATATGAGGGTCAAGAACGGTATATTTAAGTGGTTCTATCACAACTATGGGGGTTTATATCGCGACTATACGGGGTTATATCATGCACTATTTCAAGTGGGGTATATTCATACATATATACACATATACATGTCTATACAGAGTATATATAAGGGGTTGGGGGTCACACTGCACCCTATCATGGGGGAGCTCATATCACGACCTACTGTGATCAGAGAGGTCATACTGTGATTTGAAGGGGGGGGGTCATATCGCGATGGGGAAGTAATATCACAATAGATGGTCGTATTGTGATGGGAAGGGGGGGTCATAATTGCGATTGGGGGGACGTATCACTATTGGAGGAATCATATCACGATGGGGGGGTAATATTGCAATTGGGTGGGGGTCGTATTGTGGGTGAGAGATCGTATTGCAATAGGGGGGCTCATATCATGATGGGGGGTAATATCACAATCAGGGGGGCTCATATCACAATGGGAAGGGGGCTCATATCGTGATTGGGGAGGTCATATAATGACTAGAGAAATCATATCACGATGGGGGGGTCACAGCACAACTGGGGGTTTATATAGGGGGTTATATCATGATAGGGGGATCATATCACCAAAGGGGTGGGTCATATCACAATTAGGGGGAGTAACATCGTGATGGGGGGGGTGGGTGAGTGGGTCATATCACAATGGGGGGGTCATATCACTATAGAGGTAGGCCATATCACAGTAGGGGTGGATAATATCACGATGTAGGGGGTTTTATCACAATGGGGGAGTTGTATCACGACAGGAGTAGCTAGTATCACAATTGGGTGGGGGGGCATATCACAATAGGGTGGGTCATATCACAACGGGGGGGGGGATCATATCACAGTAGGGTTGGATCATACCACAACAGGGGTAGGTCGTGACACAATAGGGGTAGCACATACCACAATAGCAATGGGTTATATCACAACAGGGGTGGGTAATATCACGCCATACGGGGTTTTATGACAATGGGGGACTTGTTTCACGATAGGGATGGGTAATATCACGGGTGGGGGGGGTCATATCATAATAGGGTGGTTCGTATCACAATGGGGTTGGGTCATACCACAAGAGTGGGTCGTATCACAATAGGAGTGGGACATATCACGATAGCAGTGGGCCGTATCGTGATAGGAGTGGGCCACACCGCGATAGGGATGGGTCACATCGCGATAAAAGATGGGCTACATTGCGATATAGATAGGCCAAATCGCGATAAAGATGGGTCACATCGCGATAGGGATGGGTCATATCGCGATAGGAGCGGCTCACATCGTGATGGGGATGGGTCATATCACGATAGGAGCAGCTCACATCGCGATAGGGATGGGTCATATCGCGATAGGGATGGGTCATATCGCGATGGGGGGGGTTCCTTACCCGTCCTGGTCCTTCTCAACCATCTTGAGGGCCTCCAGCGCCTGCAGGACCCGGCGGGCGACGGCGCCGGAGCCGCGGCTGAAGTGGCTGGGCCGGACCCCGCGGCGCTGCCGCCCCCCGTACACCTTGGTGAGGGAGCCGGCGCCCGCGCCCCCCCGCAGGTACAGGTGCCGCGCGGTGGAGGCTGCAGGGGAGACACTGGGGTCAGATCCGCCCCGGTCTGGGGCACTTTGGGGGTGGGTGTGGGGCAGCTTAGGGGCAGTTTGGGGGGGTTGGGCGGATGTGGGGCAATTTAGGGTGGGTTTGGGGCAGCTTGGGCTGGTGTGGGGCAGTTTGGGTGGGTTTGGGGCGGGTTTGGAGCACTTTGGGGAGGGCTTGGGGCACTTTGGGAGGGTTTGGGTGGATGTAGAGCAGTTTAGGGTGGGTTTGGGGCAGTCTGGGGCGGATTTGGGGCAATTTGGGAGGGTCTGGGATGAGTTTGGGGCAGGTTTGGGTGGATGTGGGGCACTTTGGGGAGGGCTTGGGGCACTTTGGAAGGGTTTGGGGCACTTTGGGGAGGCTTGGGTGGATGTGGGGCAATTTAGGGTGGGTTTGGGGCAGTCTGGGCTGTGTTTGGGGCAGGTTGGGGCAGGTTTGGAGCACTCTGGGGAGGGCTTGGGGCAGTTTGGCACGGGGTTGGGGCAGTCTGGGGGGTTTGGGTGGATGTGGGGCAATTTAGGGTGGATTTGGGTCAGTTTGGGTGGGTTTGGGGCAGCTTGGGCTGGTGTGGGGCAGTTTGGGTGGGTTTGGAGCACTTTGGGGAGGGCTTGGGTCAGTTTGGGTGAGTTTGGGGCAGTTTGGGGTGGGTTTGGGGCAGTCTGGGGCGGATTTGGGGCAGTTTGGGATGGGTTTGGGCAGGTGTGGGGCAATTTAGAGTGGGTTTGGGTGGGTGTGGGCAGATGTGGGGCAGTTCAGGGTGGGTTTGGGGCAGTTTGGGTGGGGTTTGGGCAGATGTGGGGCAGTTTGGGTGGGGTTTGGGCAGATGTGGGGCAGTTTAGGGTGGGTTTGCATCACTTTAGGGTGGTTTTGGGTAAGTCTGGGGTGATTTGGAACTGTTTTGGATCGATTTTGGGTGGTTTAGAGGCTCTTTTGGGGCCGTTTTGGGACAGGTTTGGCTGAGTTTAGGCTGTTTTGGAGCCATTTTTGATCGATTTTGAGTGGTTGAGACGCAATTCTGGTGAAATTTTTGGGTGGTTTAGAACAAATTTTGGGGTATTTTGGGGCCAATTTTTGGGTGGTTTAGACCCAATTGTGGGGTATTTTGGGGCAATTTTGGCTATTTTGGGGGGGGTTAGTACAAATTTTGAGTAATTTTGGTGCCATTTTTGGGTGGTTTAGAACCAATTTTAGGGTATTTTGGGGCAATTTCAGCCTTTCTTGGATGGTTTAAAGCCAATTTCAGGGTATTTTCAGGCCATTTTTGGCAATTTTAGGGTGGTTTAGAGCCAATTTTGGGGTATTTTTGGCCATTTTTTTGGTGCTTTAGATTCAATTTTGGGGTATTCTGAGGCCGTTTTCAACAATTTTACAGTGGCTTAGACCCAACTTTGGGGTCTTTTAGCCATTTTTGTGTGGTTTAGAGCCAACTTTGGAGTATTCAGGGGCCATTTTTGGGTGGTTTACAGCCAATTTTGGGGTGCTGTGAGGCCACTTTTGGCCATTTAAGGCGGTTTAGACTTAATTTGGGGATATTTTGGGACTTTTTTGGTGTTTGAGATACAATTTTGGGGTATTTTGGGGTGGTTTGCAGTTTTGGTGGGCTTACACCCAATTTTGGGGCATTTGGGGGCAATTCTGGCTATTTTTGTTTGCTTTAGAGCAAATCTTGGGGCAATTTTGGGGTGGTTTAGAGCCAATATTGGGTATTTTGGGGCAGGTTTTGGCCGGTTTATGGTGGTTTCGACCCAATTTTGGGGTATTTTGGTGCAGTAATCCCCCATTGCCCCGTACCGGCACGCGTGTAGAACCAGTTCTCATCGTAGGGCGCCAGCTCCTTGTGCTTCGCCAGCTTCACCGTGTCCGCCCAGTCCGGGACCTTCAGCTTCCCCGACCTGCACCGGCAGCATCAGAGCATCCGGAACCCCCCCATAGGCCCCAATGGGAACCCCGGACCCCCCCTTCTCCCCTCATTGCAGCCCCGCTCCCTGTCCCCCCTCCAGGCCTCACTTCTTCAGGAAGGCGGCGAGAGCGCGCACGAACTCCTGCTGGTTCACGTCCTTCACCGTCACCCCGGGCATCTGCGGGCACGGAGCGACCCCTCAGTAACCGGTAACCCCGGTCCGGTGCCCCCCATCCCGGCCCCGGTTCCCTCCCAGGCCCCGACCTCGCTTCAGCGGCGGCGGCACCAGAAAAGGCCGCAATGCGGGGCCGACCGGGGGAAGCAGCAGGGCCGGAAGTCTCGCGAGACGCGTCCCGCCAATCAGCGAAGGCGAGAGTACGTGTAGGCCAATAGGGGAGGAGAAGGGGCGGGGCGAAGCGAGAGCTGACGCCCGCCAGCACAGCCGCTCCCCACCTCCCCGATATAAACCCACTGCTGATTGGCTGCCCGTCGAGCGGTAGTTAAAAGGCGCGTCCTGATTGGCAGTCGGGACTCATAGGCTCGTTTTGGGGTGAATTCGGTGCTTTTTGGTGCTCCATAAGCCGCCGGCGCCCTCTCCCCCCGCCCCCCCCCGAATAATGAGCGCGGGACCGTGTGCAAACCCGTGTACCAAAGCCGTACCCGGATTGGCTCAAGCGGCGCTCCGCCACGCTCCCATTGGCTGAGAAACCGTAACGCCACGCCCCCTCCCCCACCAACCAATAGCAACGCCCCAACCCCCCCCACGTGATCGGCGACAGAGACGGAGGCGGCGCCGGGTCTGCAAAGATTTACCGGTTATTAAAGAGCGCGGTCACGTGACACCCCCCCCCACCGCGGTTTCCATGGCGACCCCCCCGCGGCTTCCATAGCGATAAAAGTAGGGGGCGTGGCCTCGGAATGCTCAGCGGGCCCCGCCCCCTGCGGCGGGCGAAGGGGGCGTGGCTTCGTGGGGGTTGTGTGCGGGTTCGGCAGCGCTGGGGGCGGGGCCTGGCGCGTCGGGGGCCGTGGATTGGTCGGGAGGCGTGGCCTGGTCCGGGGGCGGGGCCTGCTCGGGGGGCGTGGCCGCCTGCATGATCTTCTGGCGCACCTCGCGGATCTTGAGCTGGAGGCAGACCTTGGACGGGAAAATGTCCGAGAAACGGGACTGGAAGGCGGCGGTGGCCTGGGCTGGGGGGGAGAGAGAGAGATGGGAATGGGGATGGGAATGGAGAGAGAGGGAATGGGAATGGGGAATGGGGAATAGGGAGATGGGAATGGGGAGAGAGGGAATGGGAGATGGGGAATGGGGAGAGAGGGAATGGGGGATAGGGAGATGGGAATGGGGAGAGAGGGAATGGGAGATGGGGAATGGGGAGAGAGGGAATGGGAATGGGGAATAGGGAGAGAGGGAATGGGAGATAGGGAGGGAATGGGGAGAGAGGGAGAGGGAATGGGAGATGGGGAATGGGAGGCAGGGAATGGGGATAGGAGACAGGAAATGGGAGATAGGGAATGGGGATAGGGAGATGGGGAGAGGGAATAGGGAATGGGGAGAGAGGGAATGGGAATGATGGGGAATGGGAGACAGGGAATGGGGATAGGGAGATAGGGATAGGGAAAGGGGAGAGAGGGAATGGGAGATAGGGAATGGGAGATGGGGAATGGGAGATGGGGAATGGGAGATGGGGAATGGGAGATGGGGAATGGGGATAGGAGACAGGAAATGGGAGACAGGGAATGGGGATAGGGAGATGGGAATGGGGAGAGAGGGAATGGGGAATGGGAGAGGGAATGGGGGATAGGGAATGGGGAGAGAGGGAATGGGAATGGGGAGAGTGGGCTGCTTTAGGCCCATTCTGGTCTTGTTTAGGCCCATTTAGGGCTATTCTAGGCCCATTTTGGGCTGTTCTAGGCCCATTTTGCGCTGTTTTGGCCCCATTTGGGGCACTTTTAGACCCATTATGGCCTGTTGTAGGCCCAGTTTGGGCTGGTTCAGGCCCATTTTGGGCTGTTCTAGGCCATTTTGGGCTGTTGTGGGCCCATTTTACACTGTTTTGGGCTCTTTTTTGGCCCATTTTGGTCTGTTTTAGGCCCATTTGGGGCTGGTTTAGACCATTTTGGGCTGTTCTATGCCCATTTTGGGCTATTCTATGCCCATTTTGGGCTGTTTTGGGCCCATTTTGGGCTGTCTTAGGCCCATTTTGGGCTGTTCCAGGCACATTTTGGTCTGTTTTAGACCATTTTGGGCTGTTCTAGGCCCTTTTGGAGCTGGTTTGGGCCCATTTTGGGTTGTTCTAGGACTATTTTCAGTTGCTTTAGACCATTTTGGACTGGTTTGGGCCTGTTTTAGGCCCATTCTGGGGTGGTTTGGGCACATTTTGGTCTGTTTCAGGCCATTTTGGGCTGGTCTAGACCATTTTGGGCTGTTCTAGGCCCATTTTGGGATGGTTTGGGCCCATTTTGGGCGGTTCTAGGCCATTTTGGGCTGTTCTAGGCCATTTTGGGCTGTTCTAGGCCCATTTTGGGGTGGTCTAGGCCATTTTGGGCTGTTTTAGACCCATTTTGGGCTGTTTTACACCCATTTTGGGCTGCTTTAGGTCCATTTTGGGCTGGTTTGAGCCCATTTTAGGTTGTTCTAGGACCATTTTGGGCTGGTTTAGACCATTTGGGGCTGGTGTGGGCCCATTTTGGGCTGGTTTAGACAATTTTGGACTGGTTTAGGCCCGTTTTGGGCCATTTAAGGCTCATTCTGGGGTGGTTTGGGCACACTTTGGTCTGTTTTATGCCATTGTGGGCTGGTTCAGACCATTTTGGGCTGTTCTAGACCCATATTGGGCTATTCTGGGCCCATTTTGAGCTGGTTTAGGCCAATTTTGGTCTGTTCTAGGCCCATTTTGGGCTATTCTAGGCCCATTTTGGGGTGGTCTAGGCCATTTTGGGCTGTTTTAGACCCATTTTGGGCTGCTTTAGGTACATTTTGGGCTGGTTTGGGCCCATTTTGGGTTCTTCTAGGACCATTTTGGGCTGTTTTGGGCCCATTTTGGGATGGTTTGGACCCAGTTTGGGCTGGTTTGGGCCCGTTTTGAGCCGTTTAAGGCCCATTCTGGGGTCGTCTGGGCACATTTTGATCTGTTTTAGGCCATTTTGGGCTGGTATAGGCCCATTTTGGGCTGTTCTAGGCCATTTTGGGCTGTTCTAGGCCATTTTGGGCTGGTTTAGGCGCATTTTGGGCTGGTTGGGGCCCATTTTTAGCTGGGTTAGGCCCATTTTGGCCTCTTCTAGGCCCATTTTGGGCTATTCTAGGCCAATTTTGGGCTGGTCCAGGCCATTTTGGGCTGTTTTGGGCCCGTTTTGGGCCGTTCTAGGCTCATTTTAGGCTTTTCTAGGCAATTTGCCGCTGCTTTGGGCCCATTTGGGGCTGGATTAGGCTGAGTTTGGGTGTTCTAGGCCCATTTTGGGCTGGTTTGGGTGCATTTTGGTCTATTCTATGCCATTTTGGGCTGTTCTAAGCCGATTTTGGGCTGGTTTAGGCCCATTTTGGGCTGCTTTAGGCCCATTTTGTGCTGTTCTACGCCCATTTTTGGCTGGTTTAGACCATTTTTGGCTGTTTTGGGCCCATTTTGGCCTGCTTTGGTCCTGTTTTGGGCTGTTTAAGGCCCATACTGGGGTGGTTTGGGCACATTTTGGTCTGGTTTAGGCCATTTTGGTCTGTTCTAGGCCCATTTTGGGCTATTCTAGGCCCATTTTGGGCTGGTCTAGTCCATTTTGGGCGGTTTTAAACCCATTTTGGGTTGCCTTAGTCCCATTTTGAGCTGGTTTAGGCCCATTTAGGGCCATTTTAGGCCTATTTTGGGCTGCTTTTAGGCCCATTTTGGGCTGTTCTAGGCACATTTTGGGCTGTTTTAGACTATTTTGGGCTATTCTAGGCCCATTTTGGGCTGGTCTAGGCCATTTTAGGCTGTTCTAGGCCCATTTTGGTCTGGTTTAGGGCCATTTTGTTCTGTTTTAAACCCATTTTGGTCTGTTTTAGGCCCATTTTGGGCTGGTTTGGGCCCATTTTGTGCTGTTCTAGGCCCATTTTGGGCTGGTTTACACCCATTTTGGTCTGATTTACACCCATTTTGGTCTGTTTTAGGCCCATTTTGGTGTGTTTTAGACCATTTTGGGCTGTTTTGGGCCCATTTTAGTCTGTTTTAGGCCCATTTTGGTCTGTTTCAGACCCATTTTGTTCTGTTTTAGGCCCATTTTGGGCTGGTTTGGGCCCATTTTGTTCTGTTCTAGGCCCATTTTGGTCTGTTTTAGACCCATTTTGGTTTGTTCTAGGCCCATTTTGGGCTGGTTTACACCCATTTTGGTCTGATTTACACCCATTTTAGTCTGTTTTAGGCCCATTTTGGTGTGTTTTAGACCCATTTTGGTGTGTTTTAGACCCATTTTGTTCTGTTTTAGGCCCATTTTGGGCTGGTTTGGGCCCATTTTGTTCTGTTCTAGGCCCATTTTGGTCTGTTTTAGACCCATTTTGGTTTGTTCTAGGCCCATTTTGGGCTGGTTTACACCCATTTCGGTCTGATTTACACCCATTTTAGTCTGTTTTAGGCCCATTTTGGTGTGTTTTAGACCCATTTTGGTGTGTTTTAGACCCATTTTGGTCTGTTTTAGGCCCATTTTGATCTGTTTTAGACCCATTTTGGTCTGTTTTAGGCCCATTTTGATCTGTTTTAGACCCATTTTGGTCTGTTTTAGGCCCATTTTGGTCTGTTTCAGACCCATTTTGGTGTGTTTTAGACCCATTTTGGTCTGTTTTAGGCCCATTTTGATTTGTTTTAGACCATTTTGGTCTGTTTTAGGCCCATTTTGGTCTGTTTTAGACCCATTTTGGTGTGTTTTAGACCCATTTTGGTCTGTTTTAGGCCCATTTTGATCTGTTTTAGACCATTTTGGTCTGTTTTAGGCCCATTTTGGTCTGTTTTAGACCCATTTTGGTGTGTTTTAGACCCATTTTGGTCTGTTTTAGGCCCATTTTGATCTGTTTTAGACCATTTTGGTCTGTTTTAGGCCCATTTTGGTCTGTTTTAGACCCATTTTGGTGTGTTTTAGACCCATTCTGGTCTGTTTCAGACCCATTTTGTGCTGTTTTAGACCCATTTTGTGCTGTTTTAGACCCATTTTGTGCTGTTTCAGACCCATTTTGTGCTGTTTTAAACCCATTTTGTGCTGTTTTCGGCCCATTTTGGGCCGGTTTGTGCCCGTTCTGGTGCCGTTACCGGATGGGAAGAAGCCGTGCTCCTGGAAGAGCTGCATCACGAGCGCCCGGCGCTGGTCCAGGGTGCGGCGCAGGGATGAGAACGGGACCTTCTCGTACTCCAGCTCCCCCAGCACATCCTCGCCCTCCCCGCCTATGGCAATGGGGTACGGGGGGGGTCAGAGCCCCCAGCCCCACAGAAAGGGGGTGCCCCCCACATCTGACCCCAACCCCCCCATTGAAAGCACCCCCAGCCCCATCTCACCCCCCCCATCCCATTCTTAGGGATCCCTCCTATTATTAAGGTGACCCCCCCCATTGAGACCCCCAACTGCCCATCCCCCCACTGCTGCTTCCTATTACGGCCCCCATAGGGACCCCCAACTCCCCCCCCCATAGGAAACACCTTTCCGTATGGAACCTCCCATAGGGACCCCCAATTCCTTCCCCCCCATCTTAAGGACCCCTCTATTATCAGGGTCCCAGCCCCCCCCCATAAACCCCATAGGGACCCCCAACCCACCCCCTCCATAGGGAACCTCCCATAGGGACCCCCACACCCCCCTTCCATAGGGACCCTCCCATAGGGACCCCCAAACCCCCCTTCCATAGGGACCCTCCCATAGGGACCCCCAAACCCCCCTTCCATAGGGAACCTCCCATAGGGACCCCCAAACCCCCCTTCCATAGGGACCCCCAAAACCCTTTCCATAGGGAACCTCCCATAGGGACCCCCCCATAGGGACCTCCCATAGGCCCCCAAACCCCCTTCCATAGGGAACCTCCCATAGGGACCCCCAAAGCCCCCTTCCATAGGGACCCTCCATAGGGACCCCCAAACCCCCTTCCATAGGGACCCTCCCATAGGGACCCCCAGAGCCCCCTCCATAGGGACCCTCCCATAGGGACCCCCAAACCCCCCTTCCATAGGGAACCTCCCATAGGGACCCCCACACCCCCCCATAGGGACCCTCCCATAGGGACCCCCAAACCCCCTCCATAGGGAACCCCCACCCCAGGGTAGGGACCCCCCAAACCCCCCATAGGGACCTCCATAGGGACCCCCAAACCCCCCTTCCATAGGGAACCTCCCATAGGGACCTCCAAACCCCCCCCATAGGGACCCTCCCATAGGGACCCCCAAACCCCCTTCCATAGGGAACCTCCCATAGGGACCCCCAAACCCCCCTTCCATAGGGAACCTCCCATAGGGACCCCCAAACCCCCTTCCATAGGGACCCTCCATAGGGACCCCCAAACCCCCCATAGGGACCTCCCATAGCCCCAACCCCCCATAGGGAACCCCCCATAGGGACCCCCCATAGGGACCCCCCATAGGGACCCCCATAGGGAACCCCCCATAGGGAACCCCCATAGGGACCCCCCCATAGGGACCCCCCATAGGGACCCCCCATAGGGACCCCCAAACCTCCCTTCCATAGGGACCCTCCCATAGGGACCCCCAAACCCCCCCATAGGGAACCTCCCATAGGGCCCCCCAACCCCCCCATAGGGACCCCATAGGACCCCCCATAGGGACCCTCCCATAGGGACCCCCAAACCTCCCTTCCATAGGGAACCTCCCATAGGGACCCCCCTGAACCCCCTTCCATAGGGAACCTCCCATAGGGACCCCCAAACCCCCCTTCCATAGGGACCGTCCCATAGGGACCCCCAAAACCCCCTCCCATAGGGAGCCCCAAAGCCCCCTTCCATAGGGAACATCCCAAAGGGACCCCCAAACCACCCTTCCATAGGGAACCTCCCATAGGGAACCTCCCAAACCCCCCCCCCATCTTAAGGACCCCCCTATTATCATCCCCCCATAACCCCATGACCCCAACTCCCCCCCCCATAAGGACCCCCCTATTATCAAGGTCCCAGCCCCCCCATAAGGACCCCTCTTCCCCCCCACCTTAGGGACCCCCCACCCCCATCCCACCCCCCCATTACCCTGATACCCCCCAAAAGGGGGAATCCCCCCTTTTTCCCCCCCATATCCCAGCCCCACAGCCCCAGCTCTGCCCCACACCTCAAGGGGGGATCTTGGGGACCCCCCTGTATTAAGGGGTGTTTTGGGGTGTCCCCCCACTGACCGGGCCTGTCGAAGGTGAAGATGTCGCCCTCGCACTTGGCGCTTTTGGGGGTGTTGGGTTCGGAGCCGCAGCTCGAGCGGCGCCGGAGCCTGCGCTTGGGAGAGGCCGGGTCCTCGGCAGAGGAGTCCAGGTCTGGAATGGGAACGGGGTGGGAATGGGATGGGAACGGGATGGGAATGGGATGGGAATGGGATGGGATTAGGAGCAAGGAATCAAAATGGATGGAGATAGGATGGGAATGGGATGGGGATGGGATGGGGTGGCAGTGGGATGGGAATAGGATGGGAATGGGATAGGATGTAGGAACGGGAATGAGAATAGGAAGGGGATGGGAAATGGGATAAGGGAATGGGATCAGGAAATGAGATAGGGGATGGGATGGGAATGGGAAGGGGATCGGGAATGGGAATGGGATGGGAATGCGATGGGGATGGGATGGGAATGGGATGGGATGGGATGGGAATGGGATCCGGCCAGATGGGGGATCGGGAGTGGGGATCGGGATGGGGATCGATCGGATGGGGAATGGGATGGGATGATGGAATGGGATGGGAATGGGAATGGGATGGGGATGGGATGCGGGATGGGGATCAGGGGATGGGGATGGGATGGGAATGGGATAGGGGATGGGACGGGGATGGGATGGGATGGGAATGGGATGGGATCCGGATGGGGATCGGGATGGGGATGGGGATGGGATAGGAATGGGATGGGAATGGGATGGGAATGGGATGGGAATGGGGATGGGATGGGAATCAAATGGGAATGGGGTAGGGATACGGATAGGATGGGATGCAGAATGGGATGGGATGGGAATGGGAATGGAAATGAGATGGAGATGGGATGGGAATGGGATGGGGATGGGATGGGGAATGTGGATGGGATGAGGTAGGAATGGAAACGATGGGGAAATGGGGATGGGAATGGGATGGGAATGGGATGGGAATAGGGGTGGGGATGGGATGGGGATGGGATGGGAATGGGGTGGGGATGGGATGGGAATGGGGTGGGAATGGGGATGGGATGGGAATGGGATGGGGATGGGATGGGGAATGGGGTGGGAATGGGATGGGAATGGGATGGGGATGGGATGGGAATGGGGGGATGGGATGGGGATGGGATGGGGATGGGATAGGAATGGGATGGGAATGGGATGGAAATGAAATGGAATCAGATGGATGGGAATAGGATGGTGATGGGATGGGATGGGTATGGGATAAGAATGGGGATGGGATGGGGATGGGGATGGGATGGGGATGGGGAAATGGGATGGGAGATGGGATGGGGATGGGATGGGGATGGGATGGGAATGGGATGGGGATGAAAGGATGGATGGGATGGGGATGGGAATGGAATGGGATGGGAATGGGGATGGGAATGGGATGGGGATGGGAATGGGATGGGGATGGGAATGGGATGGGGATGGGGATGGGATGGGAATGGGATGGGGATGGGAATGGGATGGGGATGGGATGGGGATGGGATGGGATGGGATGGGAATGGAATAAGGAAATGGGAATCAAATGGATTCAGATGGATGGGGATGGGACTGGGAATCGGATGGGGATGGGAATGGGGATGGGATCAAATTAAGGAAATGGGAATGGATAGGGGATGGGACTGGGAATGGGATAGGGAAGTGGAATGGGATAGGGGATGGGATGGGGATGGGATGGGATAGGGGATGGGAATGGGATGGGGATGGGAATGGGAATGGGGATAGGGGATCAGATGGAATGGGATGGGGGATGGAAATGGATGGGGAATGGGATGGGGATGGGAATGGGGATGGGATGGGAATGGGATGGGAATGGGGATGGGGGATGGGATGGGGATCAGAATGGATGGGGAATCAAATGGAATGGGATTGGGATGGGATAGGAAAGGAAGGAGAATCAAATAGATTGGGATGGGGATAGAGGATGGAATGGGGATCTGAATATGGAATCAGATCAGATAGATAGAAACAGGTGGAGCAATCCAAATGGGAAAGGATGAATGAAATCAGGAATGGGATGAGATGCAATAGGAAATGAAAACTACCCACTGACCTCATGTGACCCCTTCCCATTCATGCCCCTCCCCCACTGACCCCATGTGACCTCTTCCCATTCAGACCCCTCCTCCACTGACCCCATGTGACCTGTTCCCATTCATGCCCCTCCCCCCCGACCCCGTTTAACCCCTTCCAATTCATGCCCCTCCCCCCATTCACACCCCTCCCCCAACAGAACCCCTCCCCCACTGACCCCATGTGACCCCTTCCCATTCGGACCCCTCCCCATTGACCCCATGACCCTCCATTCAACCCCTCCCCACTGACCCCATGTCACCCCTTCCCCCATTCATGGCTTCCCCCATTCAGCCAGGCTTCACCCTACAGAACCCCTCCCCCACTTACCCCATGTGACCCCTTTCCATTCATACCCCTCCCCCACTGACCCCATGTGACCCCATCCCATTCATACTCCTTCCCCCCATTCAAAGCTCACTCCCACTGACCCTGTGTGACCCCTTCACATTCATGCCCCTCCCCCCATTCAAACCCCTCCCCCACTGACCCCATGTGACCCCTTCCCATTCATGCCCCTCCCCCCAATCCAAACCCTCCCCCTATGGAACCCCTCCCCCCCCGACCCCTCCCCCCCCATTGCCCCTCCCCCCGCTGACCCGTGCTGTTCTTGCGCTTCTTGCGGTAACTGCCCAGGATGGCGCGGGGGGAGGTGGCGAGGGCCTGCAGGGTGGGGGAGGGGAGCACCTCCTCGGGCCGGAACTCGGGGAGCTCCGCAAAGCGCTCCTCGAAATCCACCTCCGAGAGCACCCTGGGGGGGAGGGCGTGAGGGGGGAGAGGGGGGAGAATGGAGGGTATGGGAGTAAATGGAGGGGGAGGGAAGGGAGTAAGTGGAGGGGGAGGGCAGTGGGGGTAAATAGGAGGGGGGAGGGGCAATGTAAATTCAAGGGCGATCAAGGAGACAAATGGGAGGAGGCAATGGGGTAAATGGAGGGGGAGAGCAATGGGGATTAATAGAAGGGAAAGGAGAAAGAGGAGTAAAAAGAGAGAGAAGGGCAATGTGGGGATAAATAGGAAGGGGGAAAGGGAAAAGGAGTTATGGGGGGATAAATGGAGGGGAGCGGAAAGTTATCGTAAATGGAAGGGGAAGAGCAATGGGGGCAAGTGGAGGGGGAAAGGCAATCAGGGGGTGCGAGTGGGAGAAGGGGAGAAGGAAAAGGGGGGTAAAAGAAAGAAAGCAATGGGGGGTAAATGCGAAGGGGAAGGGGAGAGAGGGCTATCGAGGGGGATAAATGGGAGGGGGAACGGAGAGGGAGGTTATGCTACGTAGGGGAAGAGCAATGGGGGGCAAGTGGGGAGGAGGCAATAGGGGGGTAAATGGAGGGGGAAGGGAAAAGGGGGGTTATGTGGGGCAAATGGAGGGGGAGGGGAAAAGGGGGGTAAATGGAGGGGGAGGATCAAAGTTGGGGTTATGTGGGGCAGATGGAGGGGGAGGGGCAATGGGGGATGAGGGGGGAGGAGCAAAGGGTTGGGTAAAGGGGGAGCAATGGGGGGCAAATGGGGGTGTTATGGGGGATAAATGAAGGGTGAAGGACAATGGGGGGTTATGTGGGGTAAATGGGGGAGGGGCAATGGGGGAATGAGGGGGAGGAGGAACAATGGGGGGTTATGTGGGTCCATGGAGGGGGAGGGGCAATGGGGAGAGAGGAGTCATGAAGGGGGAGGTAGTCCCAAACCCCTCAGAACCATGGACACCCACCTGACCCCCTCCCCCATCCCATACCCCTCCCCCCACTCATCCCCAACCCCAGCCCCTTCCCCCCCATAGAGCCCCCACCCAAAGCCCCTCCCCCACCCCAACACCCCCTCCCCCCTTGCCCCTCCCCCCACTGCACTGTGTCGACGGAATCGAAGGTTTTCTGAGCCGCACTCTGCACTTCTTCCCCGCCCCTCCCCCATCCTTGCGCTCCTCAGCGGGGGGGGGCCCGGCGGGGGGGGAGGAGGGGCGGAGCCTCGGGGGGGCCCCTCCGGGTGTGGGGGGGAGGAAGAGGAGGAGGAGGAGGGGCCAGGAGCGGTGTGGGGGGGCTCCGGGCGGCTCTCGGGGGGCGGCGCGCGCCACTTGGTACCCTATGGGGGAGGGGGGAATAAAGGGGGTTCATTAATTAATGAGGTTAATTAATTAAAGCGTCGATGGATAAAGGGGGGAGGGGCACTCACCGTGTCCGCCGAGTGCAGGGGACGGACTCCTCACCGGGCTCCCTTTGGCTCCAGGCCTCGGTGGTGGGGGGGGAGGGGGGGTCGTTTGGGACGGGTGGGGGAGGGGCGGGGGGCTCCCATTCGGCCGTGGGGGGAGGGGGAGAGGAGGAGGAGGAAGAAGGAGGAGGGGGTGGTGGGGGAGGGGCAGGGTCAGGAGGGCCACGGGGGGGGTCCGGGGGGGGGCGTGGCCCCTCGTAGCAGCCAATGGGGATGGTGGCAATGGCGGCCTTGACCTTTTGGGGGGGCTTCGGGAGGGGGGGGCGGGGAGGGCGAGAAGGGGGGAAGCTCAAGGGGGCTGTAAAGAAGGGAGGGGGCATGCAAATGAGGGGGCGGGGCGGGGCCTGGTCTCCAGGCCCCGCCCCCTCTTGCATACTTCATACAGCTCCATTATCCACACAAGCAGCTTGCCCATAGGACGTAGCCCCGCCCATTCCCCTTAACCACGCCCCCTTTCCATTGCCCCCCTTTACCTGCATTGCCCTGGCTGGGGGCGGGGCCTCCCTTAGGCAGAATGGGCGGGGCAACGGAAGGGGCGGTTCCCGCCACACTGTAGACCAATCCGGTGGCAGGGGCGGGGCCAGGGGCGGGCCCCGGGGCGGGGCCAGGGTAAATGGCGGCAAGGACCGGCCCGGCCGAGGCTGGAGGCAGCGTTGGGGGGGGCAGAGGGGACAGGCCTGGGGGGCATCAGCCTTGGCCCCATGGGACCCACATCTGCCCCACAGGACCCATATAGCCCCATATATAACCCCCATATATCACCTTAGGACCCCCATACCCCATATACACCCCCATAGCTCATCTTAAGACCCCCATACCCCCCCACACCCCACATTAAGGCCCCCCCCATCTCCTCATTCATCCCAGTCCCCATTAACATAGACTCACATCAACCCTCTCCATTAGATCCCCATAGATCCCCCATAACCCCTCATTAGATCGCCCCCATCAGATCCCCTGTAACCCCCATTGAGCTCCCACAGATTCCCATTAGCATAGATGCCCCCCCCATAGACATTATCTTCCCCATAGATCATTAGACCTCCCCATAACTCCCTCATTAGATCATAGCTCCCCTATCAACAGTCCATTGACCCTCCCCCATAGATCTCACTAACATAGATCATAGTTCATGGGATCCCCCATTAACCCCCTATAGATCCCCCCCATAGATCCCCCCATTAACCCCCTATATATCCTCCCCATAGACCCCATTAGACCCCCCCCACAGCTCCCGTAACCAACAAGACATAGATCCCCCCCCATTAACCCCCCATAGACCCCCCTATATCCCCCCCGTACCGGGCAGCAGGGGCTGGACGATCGCCGACCCCCCCGGCCCCAGCGCCGTGAACCCGAGCACCGGGGGCTGCACGAAGGTGGGGGCGGGGCCCTGCCCCGGGGGGGCGGGGCCTGGGCCCGGAGGGGCGGAGCCTGGACCCGGTGGGGGCCCGGCGGGGGGCGGGGCCGGGTGCACGTAGGCGATGCGGGCGGGGGAGGGGAGCAGCACCTTTGGGGGCTGCCCCCCCGGGCCCCCACCCCCACCCCCACTGCTGCCCCCCCCTCCCCCCACTGCTGCCGTGGGGCTGCCGGGGGGGGGCACCACGGGCACTGGGCTCAGCTGGATGATCTGGGGGGACAGAGTCAGAGAGAGAGTTATAGAGTTATGGGGTCATGGGCGGGGATCATGGTGTGGTGTCGAGGGTGTGTGGAGTCTGATGGGAGAGGTGTGGGAGGCCAATGAAGGGGTTATATGGGGGTATTATGGATGATTATATCGGGGTCGTATAGGAGGTATATGGGGTTATATGTCATCAAGGGGGTATATGGGGGTTATATAGAGAGGGATGATATGGGGGTATATGAGGAAGGGGTTATCTGCAGAAGTGGTGATATGGGGAGGGGTTATATTGGGGGTTATATAGGGGGTTTATGGGGGGTTCACGGGGAAGGGTTATATGGGGGGCCGTGGAGGGTCCTATGGGGGCTGTATGGGGGCAGTTATAGGGGGTCATATAGGAGGTATATGGGGTTATATGGGGGGTCATAGAGGGGGTATATGGGGGGGTTATATGGGGGGTCTATGGAGAGGAGTTATATGGGAACACGGGGAAGTTGTTGGGAAGAGGTACAGCTGTCGGGGACCTGTGGGAGGGTATAGGGATGGTTATATGGGGGGAGGTTATATGGGGAGGAGGCTACAAATGGGGTTATATGGGGGTTGTATATGGGGGTATGTATGGGAAGAGGGCTCTATGGGGAGTATATGGGGGATGTATAGGGAAAGGATTATATGGGGGGATGTGGGGGGAGTTACATGGGGGGAGGGTTATATGGGGGCATATATGGGGTGCATATGGGGGGTTCTATGGGGTGAAGGGGGTTTAAATGAGGTGGGGGCGGGGTGGGGTCAATGGGGGTCAGGGTGGGGGAGGGGCACTCACCTTGCTGGGGGGCGGGGCCGCGCTGTGGGGGGCGAAAGGGGCGGCGCGGGGGGGCGGGGCCACCGGCACCAGAACCTTGCCTGGGAGCAGTGGGGGGGCGGCTGGGGGGGGGGGCAGGGGTCAGAGCCTCACCTCAGCCCCCCCAGCCCCATAGAACACAGTGCCCCATAGGACACAGTGACCCATAGAACAGTGCCCCATAGGACACAGTGACCCATAGAACACAGTGACCCATAGAACACAGTGACGTCAGCCCCTGCCCTATAGAACACAGTGACCCATAGCCCTTGCCCTATAGAACACAGCGACCCATAGAACACAGTGCCCCATAGAACACAGTGACTCATAGAACAGTGACCCATAGCCCCTGTGCCCTATAGAACACAGTGACCCATAGCCCAGTGACCCATAGAACACAGTGACCCACAGAACAGTGCCCCATAGAACACAGTGACCCATAGAACACAGTGACCCATAGAACAGTGCCCCGTAGAACACAGTGACCCATAGCCCCTGCCCTATAGAACACAGCGACCCATAGAACACACTATCACGCACACGTCAACACAGCGACCCATAGAACAGTGACCCATAGCCCATTCCCAATAGAACAGTGCCCCATAGAACACAGTGCCCCATAGAACACAGTGACCCAATGCCCCTGCCCTATAGAACACAGTAACCCATAGAACAGTGCCCCATAGAACACAGTGCCCCATAGAACACAGTGACCCATAGCCCTGCCCTATAGAACACAGTGACCCACAGAACACAGTGACCCATAGGCCTGCCCTATAGAACAGTGACCCATAGAACACAATGACCCATAGCCCCCCCCCATAGAACACAGTGCCCCATAGCCCTGCCCTATAGAACACAATGACTCATACCCCCCACCCCATAGAACAGTGACACGTAGCACCCATAGTACACTGCGACCCTATAGAACACAGTGCCACATAGCATAGGACACACACCAGCCCCCAGGCATCGCCCCCCATCCCCCCCCTCACCTTTGGGGGCGCGAGCCTGCCGGCAGCAGTTCGGGCACCGGGCAGCACCTTCCCGTTGGGGGGGGGCAGCGCGAAGTGGAGCCCGGGAGGGGGGGGAGGGGCGGCGGCGGCGGCGGGGGGAGGGGGCGGCCCGGGGGTGGGGGAGGGGAGGGTCCCCGCGGCGGAGGGGGGAGGGGCGGGCCCGGCCTTGGGGTGGGGGAGGGGCAGGGTGGGCAGGATGTATTGAACCTGCGTGATGGGAGCCCCCTTGCCCTGGGGGGGGGGCGCGGGGGGAGGGGGCTGCAGCACCCCCAGCGAGGGCGCCCGTTGGCTCCCCGCCCCTCCCCCACCCCCCCCGCCCCTCCCCCCGCTCCGTGGGACTGCGCAATGAACTGCACCCGAGGGGCCAGGAAAGAGCCGAGGGGGGACCCGGCCCCCCCCCTCCCCCTCCGCCACCTCCAGCCCCTCCCCCCACCCCCCCGCAGCCCCCCAGCACCAGGTTGGCCACGACCCCTCCCCCCGCACCTGCCCCTCCGGGGGGGGGATGGGCTTTGCGCTCCCCTCCCCCCACCCCCAGTTTGGGGTCCGCCGTGGGGGGAGGGGCGGGGCCGGGCCGCAGCGTGGGGTGGGGGAGGGGCGGCGGGAGCCCCCCTCCCCCCGCTCCTTGAGGAGCCGCCCCTCCCCCACCGGGGGTCGCGCCCCCCCCCGGCGCCTCGGCCCCCCCTCCCCCCGCGCTCTCCGCCCGTTTGCGGCGGGGGGGGGGAGGGGCCCCCCCCTCGAAGCGTTTGCGCGCGCCGGCCTTGGCGAGGCCGCGGCTCGGAGGGGCCGGGGGGGGGAGGCGCCGGTGGGAACAGCTTCCGGGAAGGTAAGGGCGAAGCGGGGGTCAGGGGACCCCGTCGGGAGCCTGACCCATCGAAACCCATAGAGGCCCATCAGACCCATCGAGCCCACAGAACCCCAGAGCCCCATAGAGCCCCATAGAGATGCTCCAGACCCACACTGACCCCCCAACTCACTCCCACAGACCCTTCATAGACCCATTGAACCCCAAACCCCACAGACCCTCCCCTGCCCCATAGATCTGCCCAGCCCCATGGACCCCACCAGACCCCCCTATATGCCAGCCCCACAGAATCCCCAGCGGCAGCCTTGCCGACCCCATAAAGACCCAAACCCCCGCCAGCATCACCCTCACCATCGGTCTCCCTATCCACCACACCTCCTTGCCCCATTGCTCCCACATCCCTGCCCCATAGGTCACATAGCTCCCATTACTCCCTGCCCCATAGCTCCCAGCCCCATAGCTCCCATGACTACATGCATGACTCCCATAGCGCCCATTACTCCCTGTCCCACAACTCCCATAGTTCCCATAGATCCCAGCCCCATAGCTCCCATTACTCCCTGCCCCATAGGTCCCATAGATCCCAGCCCCATAGCTCCCATAGCTCTCTGCCCCATAGCTCCGTGCCCCATAGCTGACACAGCTTCCTGCCCCATGGCTCCCATAGCTTCCTGTCCCATAGCTCCCATAGATCCCAGCCCCATAGCTCCCATTACTCCCTGTCCCATAGGTCCCAGCCCCATAGCTCCGTGCCCCATAGCTGACACAGCTTCCTGCCCCATGGCTCCCATAGCTTCCTCTCCCATAGCTCCCATTACTCCCTGTCCCATAGCTCCCATTGATCCATGCCCCATAGCTCCCATTACTCCTTGTCCCATAGATCTCAGCCACATAGCTCCCATTACTCCCTGCGCCATAGCTACCATAACTCCCTGTCCCATAGCTCCCAGATCCCTGCCCCATAGCTCCCATAGATTCCTGCCCCATAGCTCCCACAGATCCCTGCCCCATAGCTCCCATAGATCCCAGCCCCATAGCTCCCGTATCTCTGTGCCCCATAGCTCCCATTACTCCCTGCCCCATAGGTCCCACAGATCCCAGCCCCATAGCTCACGTTACTCCATGCCCCATAGCTCCCAGCCCCATTCCTCCCTGCCCCATAGCTCCCAGCCCCATAGCTCCCATAGATCCCTGCCCCATAGCTCCCAGCCCCATAGCTCCCATAGATCCCTGCCCCATAGCTCCCAGCCCCATAGCTCCCATAGCTCCCAGCCCCATAGCTCCCAGCCCCATAGCTCCCATAGCTCCGTGCCCCATATCTCCCACTGATCCCTGCCCCATAGCTCCCATTCCTCCCTGCCCCATAGCTCCCATAGCTCCCTCCCAGCCCCACAGCCCCCACCTTGCCCTCATCCCCCGAGCAGTCGCTGTCGCTGTCGCTGACGCGCTCCTTGCACTTGAGGTCGATGTCGGTGGGGGGCGGGGGGGGGAACCCATCATCCGCTATGGGGCAGAGGGGGGGGTGTCAATGGGGGAACCCCCATATGGGGGGGTGGGGGTGGGGTGGGGGGGGTGTGGCCTCACCGATGACGTCATCGTCGCCCTCCTCCTCGCAGATCACCATCCGCTCCTCGTCGCTCGTCATCTCCTCGCTGGCGGCGCGGGGGGGGCGCGGGGGGGCGCGCGACGAGGGGGGAGGGGGCGGCGGGAGGGAGGTGGGGGCAGGGCGGGGGGCGGGGGGAGGGGGAGGCCCCGACACCAGCTGTGGGGGGAGTCAAGGATATGGGACCCCCCCTCACCCCCCCAGCCCCGCATCCATCACCCCACATGACCTCCAGCCCCATAGACAGCACTCGCCCCACATCCTCCTCTGCCCCACAGAACGGCTCACCCATAGCCCCACATCCCCCAGCCCCATAGAGCCCTCTGCCCCACATCCCCCCCTCAGCCCCATAGAACCCCCCACCCTACACATCCCCCCTGCCCCACATAACCCCCCCCAGCCCCACACATCCCACCTGCCCCACACAACCCACCTCAGCCCTACATCCCCCCAGCCCCACATATCCCTGACCCATACAACCCCCCCTCAGCCCAACGTAACCCTACTCAGCCCCACACATCCTTCCTGCCCCACACATCCCCACTGCCCCCCACATCAGCCCCACATAACTCCCCCAGCCCCACTATAACCCCCTGCAGCCCCACATAACCCCCCTCTCAGCCCCACATCCCCCCAATCCCCTATAACCCCCAGCCCCACACATCCCCTCCCCCAGCCCCACACATCAGCCCCACATCAGCCCCACATACCCCTTTGCCCTCACACATACCCCCCTCAGCCCACACATCCCCTCGCTGCCCCACACATCCCCCACAGCCCCACTATAGCTCCTGCCAGACCCCACACAGCATCCCCCCCCAGCCCCACATAACCCCCCCCTCAGCCCCACACAACCCCTCCCCCAGCCCCACTGTAACCCCCCTGCAGCCCCACACATCTCAGCCCCACACATACCCCTGCCCCACATCCTGCCCAGCCCCACATCCCCCCCAGGCCCCTCCCCTCCCCCCCTCCGGTACCTGCCCCAGCTCCCGCAGGGGGCGCCCCTGGGGCTCCGCCCCCCCCAGCCCCTGGACTCCGCTGTGCGAGAAGGCGCGAGGCCGCTGCGCCCCTCCCCCACCCGGGGCCGGCCCCGCCCCCGCCGCCGCCTCGGGGGGGTCCGCGGAGCCTGTGGGGGAGGGGAGAGGTCAAGGGGGGGTCACGGGGTTAAAGGGGGTCAATGGGGGAATGGGGTTAAAGGGGGTCAATGGAGTCAATAGGGGTCAATGGGGGAATGCGGTTGGGGAGGCTATGGGGGTCAATGGGGGTCAATGGGGGAATGGGGTTAAGGGGGGCTATGGGGTCAAGGGGGGTCATGGCGTTAAGGGGGGCTATGGGGGTCAATGGGGTTAAAGGGGTGCTATGGGGTCAATGGGGTTAAAGGGGGGCTATGGGGGTCAATGGGGGTCATGGGGTTAAAGGGGGTCAATGGGGAGTCATGGGGTTAAAGGGGGTCAATGGGGTCAATAGGGGTCAATGGGGAATGGAGTTAAGGGGGCTATGGGGTCAATGGGGGGTCATGGGGTTAAGGGGGGCTATGGGGTCAATGGGGGTCAATGGGGTTGAAGGGGGGCTATGGGGGTCAATGGGGGAATGGGGTTGAAGGGGGGCTATGGGGCAAATAGGGGTCATGGGGTTAAAGGGTGGGGTCAATGGGGGGCATGGGGTTGAAGGGGGGCTAGGGGTGTCAATGGGGGTCAATGGGGGGCTATGGGGGTCAATGGGGGAATGGGGTTGAAGGGGGAGGGCTATGGGCGTCAATGGGTCTCTATGGGATATCAATGGGTCTCTATGGGGTATCAACGGGTCTCCATGGGTTATCACTGGGTCCCTATGGTCTCTATGGGTTACCAATAGTTCTCAATGGGTCTCTATGCGTTATCAATAGGACTCTATGGGGTATCAATGGGTCTCTATGCGTTATCAGTGGGTCCCTATGGGTTATCACTGGTTATCAATGGGTCCCTATGGTTTCTATGGGTTACCAATAGTTATCAATGGGTCTCTATGGGTTATCAATGGTTATCACTGGGTCCCTATGGTCTCTATGGGTTACCTATAGTTCTCAATGGGTCTCTATGGGTTATCAATGGTTATCAATGGTACTCTATGGGTCTCTATGGGGTATCAATGGGTCTCTATGCGTTATCAATGGGTCTCTATGGGTTATCAGTGGGTCTCCATGGGTTATCACTGGTTACCAATGGGTCCCTATGCTGTCTCTATGGTGTCTCTATAGGGTCCCTATAGGTTATCAATGTTTATTTATGGGCTCTCTCTGTCTGTCTATGGGTTTCTGGGTTATCAATGGCTATCAATGGGTCCCTATGGGTTATCAATGGTTATCAGTGGGTCCCTATGTGTTATCAATGGTTATCAATGGGTCCCTATGGGTTATCAATGGTTATCAATGGGTCCCTATGGGTTATCAATGGTTATCAGTGGGTCCCTATGGGTTACCATTGGCTATCAATGAGTCCCCTATGGGTTATCAACGGTTATCAATGGGTCCCTATGGGTTATCAATGTTTATCAATGGGTCCCTATGGGTTATCAATGGCTATCAATGCGTTCCTATGGGTTATCAATTGTTATCAATGGGTCCCTAAGGGTTATCAATGGTTATCAGTGGTCCCTATGGATTACCAATGGTTATCAATGGGTCCCTATGGGTTATCAATGGCTATCACTGGGTCCCTACAGGTTATCAATGGTTATCAATGGGTCCCTATAGGTTATCAATGGTTACCAATGGGTCCCTATGGGTTACCAGTGGTTATCAGTGGGTCCCTATGGGATATCAATGGCTATCACTGGGTCCCTATGGGTTATCAGTGGTTATCAATAGGTCCCTATAGGTTATCAATGGTTATCAATGGGTCCCTATGGGTTACCAGTGGTTATCAATGGGTCCCTATGGGTTATCAATGGCTATCACTGGGTCCCTATGGGTTATCAGTGGTTATCAATGGGTCCCTATAGGTTATCAATGGGTCCCTATGGGTTACCAGTGGTTATCAATGGGTCCCTATGGGTTATCAATGGCTATCACTGGGTCCCTATGGGTTATCAGTGGTTATCAATGGGTCCCTATAGGTTATCAATGGTTATCAATGGGTCCCTGTGGGTTATCAATGGCTAACACTGGGTCCCTATGGGTTATCAGTGGTTATCAATGGGTCCCTATAGGTTATCAATGGTTATCAATGGGTCCCTGTGGGTTATCAATGGCTAACACTGGGTCCCTATGGGTTATCAGTGGTTATCAATGGGTCCCTATAGGTTATCAATGGTTATCAATGGGTCCCTGTGGGTTATCAATGGCTAACACTGGGTCCCTATGGGTTATCAGTGGTTATCAATGGGTACGCCTATAGTGTTATCAATGGTTATCAATGGGTCTTCTAGGGTTATCAATGGCTAACACTAGGTACCCTATGGGTTACCAATGGCTACAACTTCATCCTATGGGTTATGACTGGCTCTAATGGGTGAGCCTGTGCTCCCCATGTAGCTACCTCTATGTGGTTATAAATCCTACCAAATGGCTTTTCCCTATGTGTTACCAATGGCTCCCAATGGCTCCCTATGTTATCAATGCCTCCCCATGTGTGTTTCCCCCCCTGACCTGCCGGGGGCGCTGCGGGGCCGCTCTCGGACGCGCTCCGTTCCCGGGGCTCTTTGGGGGCCCCCCCCGGCCCCCGCGCCCCCCCCTCGGAGCTCGACTTCTTCCGGTCCTTGTTGCACCACTTCCAGTCCGGGTGCGCCTTGAAGTGCGCCTCCTTCACCTGCAGGGGGCGCCACCGCGCCCGAGCACGTGACCCTCCGCGGGGACGCTCTATGCGGACGCCTACCATAGAGACGCCCCCTACAGGGACCTCCCCCCCCCCATAGGAGCCCCTCTATAAGGAACCTTCCCATAGGGACCCCCCTATAGGGACCCTTCCCGTTGGAGCACCCCATAGGGACCCCCCCGCCATAGGGATTCCACCCCCCAGTGACCCCCAATTCCCTCCATTGCCTCCTCAATCCCCTTTGGGCCACCCCCAAACCCCATCCAGGACAAATCACCTCTGGACCCTTTCAACACCCCCTTCAGGAACAGCTCATCTCCCCAAACTTAACACCCCCAAAACCCCGTCAGGACCCCCATAACCCCACCTAGGACAAACCCCATCCAGACCCCCCCCAAATCCCCTCTGGACCCTTTTAGAGACCCCCTAAGGACCACTTAACACCCTTAAACCCCCTCAGACCCCCAACCCCATCCAGGACCCACATAACCGCAGGCCAGGACCCCCCCCATAACCACAGTCCAGCAGCAAACCACATCCAGGACCCCCATAACCCCCTCAGGAACCCCATAACCCCACCCAGGACCCCCATTACCCCATCCTGGACCCCCCCCAAATCACCTCTGGACCCTTTCAACCCTCTTAAGGACCCCTTCAACTCCCCCAAAATCCCCTCAAGACCCCCCAAAAACCCCCTCAGGACCCCCCAAACCCCATCCAGGACCCCCCCAAATCCCCTCTGGACCCTTTCAACCCCCTTAGGGACCCCTTTAACACCCCCCAAACCCCCTCAGGACCCTCTAAACCCCATCCAGACCCCCCCCAAACCACCTCTGGACCCTTTGAACCCCCTTAAGGACCCTTTCAACTCCCCCAAAACCCCCTTTAACACCCCCAAAACCCCCTTTGGACCCACGTCTGACCCCACCTCAGCACCATAACCCCACCCCAGGACCCCCTATCAACCCCCTCCAGTACCCCCATAACCCCCCCAGGACCCCATACCCCCATCAGGACCCCCCATAACCCCACCCAGTACCCCCATAACCCCACCCAGTACCCCCATAACCCCACCCAGGACCCCCATAACCCCACCCAGGACCCCCATTACCCCACCCAGGACCCCCATAACCCCACCCAGTACCCCCATAACCCCACCCAGTACCCCCATACCCCACCCAGGACCCCCCAAACCCCATCCAGGACCCCCATAACCCCCCCTAGAACCCCCATAACCCCCCCTAGAACCCCCATAACCCCCCCTAGAACCCCCATAACCCCATCCAGGACCCCCCAAACCCCATCCAGGACCCCCATAACCCCACCCAGGACCCCCCATAACCACATCCAGGACCCCCCAAAGCCCATCCAGGACCCCCCCAAATCGCCTCTGGACCCTTTCAACCCGCTTAACGACCCCTTTAACACCCCCAAAACCCCCTTTGGACCCCCATAACCCCACCTAGCACCCCCCAAACCCCACCCAGGACCCCCCAAATCACCTCTGGACCCTTTCAACCCCCTTAAGGACCCCTTTAACACCCCCAAACCCCCTCAGGACCCCCATAACCCCACCCAGGACCCCCATAACCACATCCAGGACCCCCCAAACCCCATCCTGGACCCCCCCCAAATCACCTCTGGACCCTTTCAACCCCCTTAAGGACCCCTTCAACTCCCCCATAACCCCCCCCAGTACCCCCATAACCCCCCCCAGTACCCCCATAACCCCCCCCAGTACCCCCCCCGGTCCCACCTGGAAGGCCAGGTCGTGGTACTGCTGCTTCTCGCGCGGCCCCAGCGCGTACCACCACTCGCCCAGGATCTTGCTCACGGTGCGGTTGTCCTGGTTCGGGTGCCGCTGGTGCACCAGCGCCCGGTGCCGCTTGCTGAAGATCATGAAGGCGTTCATGGGGCGCCGGATGTGGTCCTTGTCACGCTGTGGGGAGAGGCGGGGGTCAGAGGGGGGGGCTGGGGGGCACAGGGACACATCTGGATGCATAGAGATGCATTGGGGCCATAGAGACACATCTGGATGCAGAGAGATGCATTGGGGCCATAGAGACACATCTGGATGCATAGAGATGCATTGGGGCCATAGAGACACATCTGGATGCAGAGAGATGCATTGGGGCCATAGAGGCACATCTGGATGCAGAGAGATGCATTGGGGGCCATAGAGACACATCTGGATGCAGAGAGATGCATTGGGGCCATAGAGACACATCTGGATGCATAGAGATGCATTGGGGCCATAGAGACACATCCGGATGCAGAGAGATGCATTGGGGGCCATAGAGGCACATCCGGATGCAGAGAGATGCATCCGGGGCCATAGAGACACATCTGGATGCATAGAGATGCATTGGGACCATAGGGGCACATCTGGATGCATAGAGATGCATTGGGGCCATAGAGACACATCCGGATGCAGAGAGATGCATTGGGGGCCATAGAGGCACATCTGGATGCATAGAGATGCATTGGGGCCATAGAGACACATCTGGATGCATAGAGATGCATTGGGGGCCATAGAGGCACATCTGGATGCATAGAGATGCATTGGGGCCATAGAGATGCATTGGGGCCATAGAGATGCATTGGGGCCATAGAGACACATCTGGATGCATAGAGAGGCATTGGGGGCCATAGAGACACATCTGGATGCAGAGAGATGCATTGGGGCCATAGAGATGCATTGGGGCCATAGAGACACATCTGGACCCATAGAGATGCATTGGGGCCATAGAGACACATCTGGATGCATAGAGATGCATTTGGGGCCATAGAGACACATCTGGATGCATAGAGATGCATTGGGGCCATAGAGATGCATTGGGGCCATAGAGATGCATTGGGGCCATAGAGACACATCTGGATGCATAGAGAGGCATTGGGGGCCATAGAGACACATCTGGATGCAGAGAGATGCATTGGGGCCATAGAGATGCATTGGGGCCATAGAGACACATCTGGACCCATAGAGATGCATTGGGGCCATAGAGACACATCTGGATGCATAGAGATGCATTTGGGGCCATAGAGACACATCTGGATGCATAGAGATGCATTGGGGCCATAGAGACACATCTGGATGCAGAGAGATGCATTGGGGCCATAGAGACACATCTGGATGCAGAGAGATGCATTCGGGGCCATAGAGACACATCCGGGTGCAGGGAGATGCATTGGGGCCATAGAGACACATCTGGATGGATAGAGATGCATTGGGGCCATAGAGACACATCTGGATGCATAGAGATGCATTGGGGCCATAGAGACACATCCGGGTGCAGGGAGATGCATTGGGGCCATAGAGACACATCTGGATGCAGAGAGATGCATTGGGGCCATAGAGACACATCTGGATGGATAGAGATGCATTGGGGCCATAGAGACACATCTGGATGCATAGAGATGCATTGGGGCCATAGAGACACATCTGGATGCATAGAGATGCATTGGGGCCATAGAGACACATCTGGACCCATAGAGATGCATTCGGGGCCATAGAGACACATCTGGATGCAGAGAGATGCATTCGGGGCCATAGAGACACATCTGGATGTATAGAGATGCATTGGGGGCCATAGAGACACATCTGGATGCATAGAGATGCATTGGGGCCATAGAGACACATCTGGACCCATAGAGATGCATTGGGGGCCATAGAGACACATCTGGATGCAGAGAGATGCATTCGGGGCCATAGAGACACATCTGGATGCATAGAGATGCATTCGGGGCCATAGAGACACATCTGGATGCAGAGAGATGCATTCGGGGCCATAGAGACACATCTGGATGCAGAGAGATGCATTCGGGGCCATAGAGACACATCTGGATGTATAGAGATGCATTGGGGGCCATAGAGACACATCTGGATGCATAGAGATGCATTGGGGCCAGAGGCACATCTGGATGCATAGAGATGCATTGGGGGCCATAGAGACACATCTGGATGCAGAGAGATGCATTCGGGGCCATAGAGACACATCTGGATGCAGAGAGATGCATTGGGGCCATAGAGACACATCTGGACCCATAGGGACACATGCAGACCCATAGAGACACATCTGGATCCAGGCACACACTCAGACCCATAGAGACACATCTGGACCCATAGGGACACATGCAGACCCATAGGGATACATTGGACCTATAGGGACACATTGGACCTATAGGGACACATCTGGACCCATAGGGACACACTCAGACCCATAAGGACACATGCAGACCCAGAGAGACACATCTGGATCCAGGCACACACTCAGACCCATAGAGACACATCTGGACCCATAGGGACACTTGCAGACCCATAGAGACACATCTGGACCCATAGGGACAGATGCAGACCCATAGAGCCCCCACTGAAGATGTCCTTGTCCTGCTGCAGAACAATGGGGTCAATGGGGGGGGGGTCTGACCCATAGAGACCCATTGGAGAGCCGGGGGGGGGCGTGGCCAACCCTGACTCCGCCCACTCAGCCGACAGTGTATGGGGTCATGCCCCCATCTCCTGGCTCCTCCCACAGTGGGACTGTGGCCAATCAGATGTCTCCATCCTCATGGGCATGGCCACCCACTGCCCTCCCTCTCCCATTGGCTCCACCCCCCAGTGGGCGTGTCCACGTTAGCCCCACCCCCTGCAAGTGGCCACGCCCCCATCCAGCTGCTCAGTTCCTATTGGCCCCAGCCCCTGCATGCTCCCTCTAAGGGGCAGGGGTTATGGGGTTTCCATGGGGTCACTATGGGGGCTGTGTCTATGGGGTCTCTATGGGGGTGTCTCTATGGGGTTTTTCTGTGGGAGCTATCTCTATGGGGGCCTCTACATAGGTGGTGCCTCTATGGGGGCTGTCTCTATGGGCAGTGTCTCTATGGGGGCTGTGTCTATGGGGTTTCTCTATGGGGTCTCTACTGCGTGTCTCTATGAGGGTCTCTGGGCGACACTTGGGGGGCTCTGAATGGTCTGGAGGGTCCCTAAGGGGTCTCTGGGTGTTTTGTGGGGTCCCTAAGGGGTCTTTGAGGGGTCCCTATGGGGTCTCTGGGTGCTTTAGGGGTCCCTGGGGGGGTCCCTATGGGGTCTCTGGGGGCTTTAGGGGGTCCCTAAGGGGTAGCTGGGGGGTCCCTATGGGCTTTAGGGGGTCCCTAAGGGGTCTTTGAGGGGTCCCTATCGGGTTTCTGGCTGCTTTAGGGGCTCCCTAAGGGGTCTTTGAGGGGTCCCTATGGGGTCTCTGTGTGTTTAGGGGCTCCCCAAGGGGTCCCTGGGTGCTTTCAGGGCTCCCTCTGGGGCCAGGGGGGGGTCCCCACCTTGCTGGGGCTGCGCCCCTCCTTGTCCCCATCCCTGTCCTTGGGGAGGGCGCTCAGCGACTGCGTCCGGCGCTTCCCAGGCCCCAGCGGCAGCGGCAGCTCCGGGGCCACGATCGACAGGAACCTGGGGGACCCCAAACCCACGTTATGGGGGGGTCAAACCCCCCCCCCCCCAAACCCCTCCCCTCCCCCCACTTACGCGTCATCGTGGTCGCTCTCGGTCTCGCTGTCCAGGCGGGGGGGGAGGGGAGGCTCCTCCTCGGGGCCCGGGGGGGCGGCGGGGGGCGGAGCCACGGGGGGGGCAGCGGGGGGGGGGCTCTGGGGGCGAGTGGCCCCCCCGCAGCGCCCCGGTTCCAGCCCCGCCCCCAGCTCGGGGGCAATGGCTGCAGATTCGGGGGGCTCTGGGGGAGGGGTAATGATGACGGGGGGATCAGACCCTTCCCCCACCCCCAATTAATGGTGTGTTAATTAGGGGGGGTCTCACCTTTGCTCTGATTGGCTGCTGGCGGGTGATTGACGGGCTGGTGGCCCTGGGGGGGCTGGGGGGAGACATCGGGCTGGGAGGGGGCCAGGAAGGGCACGAGCGAGTGCCAGGGGAACACGGCCACGGAGCGCGGCTCCACATTGGTCCACACTGCGGGAACGGGGGGGACACGCGTGAGACACGCTATGACATGCATGGGACACGCTATGACATGCATGGGACACGCTATGACATGCATGGGACACGCTATGACATGCATGGGGCACGCTATGACATGCATGGGACACGCTATGACACAGTGTAACACACGTGGGACACATGGTGACACGCGTGGGGCAAGCATGGGGCACGCTATGACACGCTTTAACACACGCGGGACACATGGTGACACGCGTGGGGCAAGCATGGAGCACACTATGACACGGTATAACACATGTGGGACACACTATGACACACATGGGACAAGCATGGAACACGCTATGGCACAGTATAACACATGTGGAACACACTATGACACATGTGGGACAAGCATGGAACACACTATGACACGGTGTAACACATGTGGGACACACTATGACACACGTGGGATAAGCATGAAACACACTATGACACAACGTAACACGTGTGGGACACACTATGACACACGTGGGACAAGCATGGAACGCACTATGACACGGTATAACACATGTGGGACACACTATGACACACGTGGGACAAGCATAGGGCATGCTATGACATGCTTTAACACACGTGGGACACATGGTGACACGCGTGGGACAAGCATGGAACACACTATGACACGGTGTAACACATGTGGGACACATGGTGACACATGTGGGACAAGCATGGAACACACTATGACACATGTGGGACACACTATGACACACGTGGGACAAGCAAGGAACACACTATGACACGGTATAACACACGTGGGGCACACTATGACACATGTGGGAAAAGCATGGAACACACTAAGACATGGTATAACACACGTGGACAAGCCTGGGACATGCTATGGCGTGTGGGGCACACTATGACATGCTACAACACAAGTGGGGCACGCTATGACACGTGTGGGACATGGAATGACAAGCGTGGGGCACAGTACGACACACCTGGGGCACACTGTGACATGCAAGGTGCATGCTATGACACGCCTGGGACATACAATGACATGCCTGGGACACGCTATGACACGCGTGGGACACACTATGGCACACCTAGGACACACTATGACACGCCTGGGACACGCTATGACATGCAATGACACGCCTGGGACTCGCAATGACACGCCTGGGACTCACAATGACATGCAAGGTGCACGCTATGACACGCGTGGGACACGCAATGATATGCGTGGGACACGCAATGACACGCAAGGTGCACATTATGACACGCCTGGGACACACAATGACACGCCTGGTGCACTCTATGACATGCCTGGGACACGCTATGACACACCATGACACACCTGGGACACAATATTAGACGCCTGGGACATGCAAGGTGCATGCTATGACACGCCTGGGACATGCAATGACACCCCTGGGACACGGAATGACAAGGGACACACAATGTGGGACACACAATGACACGCAAGGTGCACACTATGACACGCTTGGGACACACAGGACCCTCCCAGCCCAAGCTTAAGCCCCACCCCCGGCTGCAAACCACGCCCCCCCACACTGCCCAAGCCCCGCCCACCGCCCCCAGGCCACTCCCTCACAGGTTGAGCTCTGACTCAAAGCCCTGCCCCCGGTCCAAACCACGCCCACCAGGCGCAGGCCCCTCCCCCCCCGTGGTCCTGCCCTCTGTGCCTGTCCTAGAACCAGGTAACACGGCAAGAGCATGGCTACATGCAATGTGTGAGCACTGCTACACACGTGTAACATGTGAAGCACCATTACACGCCTGTTCCGAGTCTATGTAACATGCCAAGAGCATGGCTACATGTAATGTGTGAGCACTGCTACACACGTGTAACATGTGAAGCACCATTACACACCTGTTCCGAGTCTATGCAACATGCCAAGTGCATGGCAACATGTAACGTGTGCGTTGCTACACATGTGTAACGTGAAGCACCATTACACACCTGTTCTGAGTGTACGTAACATGCCAAGAGCATGGCTACACGTAACATGTAAGCACTGCTACACACATGCAACATGTGAAGCACCATTACACGCCTGTTCTGTGTCTATGTAACACACCAAGAGCTTCTCTACATCTAACATGAGCGTTGCTACACACATGTAACATGTGAAGCACCATTACACGCCTGTTCTGATTCCATGTAAAACACTAAGACCTTTCCTACATGTAACATGTGAACGTTATGCATGTGTGGGACACGTGAAGCATCACTACACACATGGAGCATAAGAGACACGGCTCCATGCATGTCCTGGAGCCACGTAACATGATGGGAGCTTCACTACGTACAACACACATGTAATACATGGAGCATCTCTACATACGAGTCATCTGCATGCTGAGGCACTGTTACACGTGACATATGAAGCACTACATGTGTGTAACGTGAAGCATCACCACATGCATGTCAGGGCCGTGTGCAGCATCATTACATGTGTGCAATATAGGAAGGATCATGCCATGCCTGTGCTACAGCTGTGTAACACGCCAAGAGCATTGCTACATGTGTACAAGAAACAGTTTTACATACATGTAACACATCAAGTCACATGTGTGTGCCACATGTTGCACACCAGGAACATCCCTACACGTGTGACATGGAGCATCCCCACATGTGCATCCCATGAGAGCACAATACGTGTGGAACATGCAGCAGTCCTACACGCGTGTTCCATGGCCATGCAACACGCCAGGAGCAACACACGCGTGACATGGAACATCCCTAGGTATGTGCAACATGGACCATGCATCCACACAGAACATGCCAGAGCAACACAACACGTATGTAACACAGAGCATCCTTACACACGTGTTCAGCAACCATCCAACATGCCAAGAGCAACATGGGTACAACATGGAGCATCCCTACACACGTGTTCAGCAGCCATCCAACATGCCAAGAGCAACATGGGTACAACATGGAGCATCCCTACACACGTGTTCAGCAGCCATCCAACATGCCAAGAGCAACATGGGTACAACATGGAGCATCCCTACACACGTGTTCAGCAGCCATCCAACATGCCAAGAGCAACATGGGTACAACATGGAGCATCCCTACACACGTGTTCAGCAGCCATCCAACATGCCAAGAGCAACATGGGTACAACATGGAGCATCCCTACACACGTGTTCAGCAGCCATCCAACATGCCAAGAGCAACATGGGTACAACATGGAGCATCCCTACACACGTGTTCAGCAGCCATCCAACATGCCAAGAGCAACATGGGTACAACATGGAGCATCCCTACACACGTGTTCAGCAGCCATCCAACATGCCAAGAGCAACATGGGTACAACATGGAGCATCCCTACACATGTGTTCAGCAGCCATCCAACATGCCAAGAGCAACATGGGTACAACATGAAGCATCCCCACACGTGTTCAGCAACCATCCAACATGCCAAGAGCAACATGGGTACAACATGAAGCATCCCCACACGTATGTCCTGTGGCTACAGAACATGCCAAGAGCAATGTAACAGGGGTGCAGCACCGAGCATCCCTACACATGACATAGAACATCCCGACACGTGTGTTCTGGAGCATGTTCTACAACATGCCAGGAGCATCCATACGCATGTGCAACACAAGACATGGAGCATCCCTACACACGTGTCCTGTGGCCATACAACGAACCAGGAGCAACACAACACGTAACTAACACGGAGCATCCCTGTGTGTGCTGCTAGAACATGCCAGGAGCAACACAACACGTGTGCAACACGGAGCATCCTTCAACACATGACACGAAGCATCCCAAACACGACACGGAGCATCAAAACGCATAACACGGATCATGCCTACAGACGACACGGAGCATCCCTACGCACGACACGGAGCATCCCAAAGCACGACACGGAGCATCCCAACGCACGGCATGGAGCATCCCTACCCATAACACGGAGCATCCCAACGCACGACACGGAGCATCCCTCCATATGACATGAAGCATCCCAACACACAACACGGAACATCCCAACACACGGCATGGAGCATCCCTCCATACAACACAGAGCATCCCTATGCACGACATGGAGCATCCCAACGCACGACACGGAGCATCCCTACCCATAACACGGAGCATCCCTACACACAACACAGAGCATCCCTACGCACGACACGGAGCATCCCTACGCACAAAACAGAGCATCCCTATGCACAACACGGAGCATCCCAATGCCTGGCATGGAGCATCCCTATACACGACACAGAGCATCCCTACACACAACACGGAGCATCCCAAAGCATGGCATGGAGCATCCCTATACAGGACACGAAGCATCCCTATACAGGACACGGAGTGTCCCTATGCACGACACAGAGCATCCCAATGCATGGCACAGAGTAACCCTATAGAGGACACGGAGTATCCCTATGTACAACACAAAGCATCCCAATGCATGGCACGGAGCATCCCTATAGAGGACATGGAGCATCCCTACACATGACACGGAGCATCCCAATGCATGGCATGGAGCATCCCTATAGAAGACATGGAGCATCCCTACACATGACACAGAGCATCCCTACGTAAAACACAAAGCATCCCAACGCATGGCATGGAGCATCCCTATACACAACATGGAGCAATCCCTACATAGTACACGGAGCATCCCAATGCATGGGACAGAGTAACCCTATAGAGGACACGGAGCATCCCTACGTACAACACAAAGCATCCCAACGCATGGCATGGAGCATCCCTATGCACTACACGGAGCATCCCAATGCATGGCACTGAGTAACCCTATAGAGGACCTGGAGCATCCCTACACATGACACAGAGCATCCCTACGTAAAACACAAAGCATCTCAACGCATGGCACGGAGCATCCCTATATGTAACACAGAGCATCCCTACATACTACACGGAGCATTCCAATGCATGGCACGGAGCATCCTCATAGAGGACATGGAACATCCCTACACATGACACGGAGCATCCCTATGTACAACACAAAGCATCCCAATGCATGGCACGGAGC